GAAGTCAAAGGAAAGGAAAAGAATGGAAGGGAGCTGGAAAGCAACATACACAATCATGCACACACTGGAATGGAGGGGGACGATTATATGTACCAAGGAGAGTCATGGCAAGAGAAGAGAAACAAACAACATATCAAGGGACTGGAGGGAAAAAACAGAATGCTAAAGACATCAAAAAGGGAAGGGAAGAGAGAAACGCAGTAACGCAAAGCGACCGGAATAGAAGGGAAAGGAGGCCGTGTGAATGCGACTAGAGAGAGAGGATATATGTAACATATAATACTGCATTTATATGTGAATAACATGTGTACACTATCTCCACGAATTTTATCGTGGGAAATGGCAAGGAAAACGGTATAGTTAGAATGCCTCCTGCCAAGCGTAGTGTCAATGAGGTTTGTGAACGGGAAGGCTAGCAGAAAAGGCATCGGATAGCCAGGCAATGGAGGAAAGGCAAAGGGAAAGACAGAGAGGAACGTCGCAAAGGGCGGGGCAGGAAAAGGAACCAAAGGAAAGAAAGAATGGAAGGGAACTGGAAAGCAACACTCGCACACTGGGATGGAGGGGAACAATCTGGAATCTGAAGCAGAGCCCTTGCCCGGGAGCTTTCCGGAGAGACAGGGCAAAAAAAGTAGAAATGTGCACACTGAGAATGCCCCGTGCCAGACAAAAAAAAATGATGTCAAGGAGGCTCATGGCAAGAGAAGCAAAAAAATACATAGCAAGGGACTGGCGGGAAAAACGGGGAAAAAGATAGACGCCAAAGACATCAAAATGGGAAGGAAAGGGAGAAACACAGCAACGCAAAAAATGACCGGACTAAAAGGGAAAGGAGGCTGGCGCATGTTTGAACTGTCCAAATTTCAGTAGGCAGCTGACGAATGTTTGCCGATTTCCGCACCAGGTGGCCTCTCCTCCATTGCCTTGCTATCTGATGCCTTTTCTGCTACCCTCCCCATTCATAAACCTCATTGACACTATAGTCACTATGCTTGGCAGGAGGAGAAGCAACAAAGACGTAGCAAGGGACTGGAGGGGAAAAACAGAACGCTCAAGACATTGAGAAATGGAAGGAAAAAGAGAACACAACAACGCAAAACGACCGGAATAGAAGGAACAGGAGGCCGTTTGAATGCGACTAAAGGGAAAATATATAAATCACATGTGCACTCTATGTGTGGCCAGGAAAACGGTACAATTAGAATGTTCTCTTGCCATGACATGAGTCTCCTGGATACATAGTATATAGTATATATATATATTATATCTTTGTCTGGCACAGGGCATTCTAAAGTGCGCACAGTCTTGAGATTCCAAATTGTTCCCCTCCATCCAATCAATGGTGGAAAACAACCTTCCAAAAAGACGACTTGCCGTAAATGAAGAGAAAAAGGCCTGAATGTTGACAGTTTGCCGGTGACACTTTTGACCCATTCTAAGTCTACCCCCCGTTATTGTTCTCACGTAGGCATTCCAAGCCTTCCTGGAAAGATGTGAGGATTTTCGAGGCATTCTAAGTTTCAGTCCGTCACTATAATATGTATGAATCATGCCTGTTGTTCTGCTTACTGCTACAGACGCTTGATGTTTTTTTGGGCGGGAACATTTCAACCTAACGAACAGGTGACCTGTGCACCACTTCGGATGGTCTGTTGAGAGATGCTGAGATGATCCCTGTTTTTGCTCGCTGGCCCATGCCCGGCTGCCACGGGGTGTTACAGAGACATCCACGGAAAACATGTTCGTTTGTTCAGGGTTTATCTCATGGTACTGACATTTACAGTGACAACTGAAAAACATGCCACCTCATCACCTCAATGTAGTTCAGGTACCAACAATCAATATGGAAGAATAGTTCTATCCATTTCTATCCCGCCGGCTCAATGGGTTGGTTTTTGAGGCATCAGCGCTTGCTTTTGGCCACCTTCAACATGGACCGAAGAACTGCGGCGGGACGACGGAGCAGTTGGACCGACCTCTGTGAACTGATGGTCCCACAGTTCAAAATGCTTGCGGGATCTAGGTGAAAGTTCAGACTAGTTTCGGTTCGAATGTGCTTGGACTTCGGGGCGAGAAATTGGGTGCAAACGTGACCGAAGTGAAGGCAATCATTGGCGGACACCCAATGGCCCAAGCTGACCCCGGCGAAGGGTTGAATCATTGGCTGCTGTACAATCGCCCCTTGTACAGAACACCTCTCAACAAAAACATGTTGAAAAGCAATTGGCAATCCAGAACCTCTCGCTTGGTTCTTGTGCATCATTGGGTTTTGAGGAAGGGCCGGGCCAACATTGAGCAGAGGATGGAGATTTCCGATGCTTCTGGATGAGCATAGACTGGACAACTTAGTCCTTTGCTAGTAGCAATTGTATTGGGATAGCTTGAAACCTGAGTCATTTCCAGCCGAAATGCATGTATTTTTATTTGTTTTCTGTTGTTCCTTCTCAAAGCTACCATTTTGATGACGGGTGCACATCAGTTTTGCATTTATGAACCTTCCACCCGTTTTCATGAAAAGCAGCAGTAAATTGAGGGAGACCCCGTAGGATACCTCTCATAGAGCCAAAAATATGCACTTCCTCAGAATCAATATGTGTCCTTTCAACATTTCTGCTGTATTATTAACCTCTTTCTTTCTCTGCAGAAGATCTTCTCGATACGTCTCGGGTTGCACGACACGTGTTGGCAACATTGAACAGTAGCGATTCACCTCGGGGCTGCCATTGTCCGGCGTGCAGGTGGTTGGGGCCGGGCAGCTTGGATCTGAGAGCCCTCCCACACATTCCATGGGAAGATTGAGCTACCTTGGGCTGAAGAGGGATCAATGTAAAACTTCCAGTCCCTTGGAGTGTTTTGGGCCTGCAGGACTGCAGCTTGCAAGGGCAGACCTCGGTGCACATTGTCATGGCCACCCTGCTGCTCTCCTCCAGGCAGGACGCTCCATTTTTCAGGCCGCGCCCCCAATGCACCGGTCTAGTAAATAGGCAAATCTGATTTAAAAACAAGCACGTCATTCGTATCCGATATGTATTATTATATATATATATAATTATATATATATGATCATGGTATATTGTATGGATGTGCCAAGCCAGTGAGGTTGCTTGATCCAAGCCAGTGTGCTTTCCATGTGAAAAACCGCCAATTGAGAAATCGATCTGAGCAGCAGGCAACTGTAGGTATACCGGTATACCCTAAAATGACCACAGAGCAGCGACAAAAATATCAATATCCAAGGCTTCACAAAAGAGCGCCGGCGCAACTGTTTAAACTAGATGGGAAAGACCAAAATTCACGAGCTCGTGATTGAACAGTGAAGGCTTGGAAATGAGGAAGTTTGCAGCAAGAAAGTATGGCTTTGGCAAAGGGACGGGACGCTTCATGCTTTGCGTGACTCTAATGTGAAGCCGATCAGGTATTCTGAGGACGAAATGTTTTCCTATGCTTGACATGCCTTGGTTCGGAGAGTTTGAAGACCTTACAATATCCGAGATGGATGCCATAATAGAGTGGCAAGCACCTCACAACACAGGCAATATGTGGGGTTGAGATGATTTCACCAGCCTTGGATGCGATGACCCAGATGTGCGACAAGATTGACTAGGTAAGGGTGTCCTACTCACTAGATGTCCCAGATTGTTGAAACCCATTCTGATGAAACAAACAGTGTTTGACGAACACACTGGCACTTTTGAGTACACATATGTTATCCCAATTGCTTGACTCTGAGAAGAAAGGCGCGGGACGTTGAGGGCAGAGATTGCCCACAAATCAAAGGAAGGGTGCTGATGGTGTTGTCAGCTTGACATGTTGGGATACTGTTAGTTCTAAATGCAGCGTTCAATACGCAAAGAATATCATCCAAAATAGTACTATTCCGACAAGCCCAGAGCTACAGCGCTCTTAGGAAAAGTCGACTCCGCCTATCGGGTAGAAGATAGGTGAACGATAGGAACTACAAAAGCCCGTCACCGTGTGCTGCAAAACCCACCGGTGGTCCCAGGGTGAAACTCAAAGTAATCCCCAGACACTCCATGTTTGGTATATATGTTATTGTTTTCACAGAATGTGGATCTCTGTTGGACACCTCTCGGAAGGTCAGGGTATAGAATGGTTATATAGAACCAAGTGTGTAGGACTCAGTTCTGATCAATCTTTTGGGCTTCATTGACTCAATTGACCTTTCCCACCCCTCACCCACCCTGGCAACCGCCGCCGTCACCGCCGTAACCGTGAGGTTGATCCCTGCGCTGAGGATGATGTTCCTGAACTGGGCCGGATGTTTGACGGAGACGTGTTCGCTTTGGCCAGAAGGGTCGCGGGGGGACATCGGCCTCCTATTTACTGAGTATCGCAAGAGATAACGGTGAAGAGCATGTTGTGGGAGGGTCTTAAGATGCACAAACGAATTTTCTTGTTGATGTTGCTTCGTGGTTCACATTCATTCATTGTACTGTAGCAAGAAAAAGATAGATAGCAATAAGAGCGTATACGGAATCTGGCGACATAATTAAATATGTCTTCTACTGGAGTACCAAAGAATGTCCCTCATGGGTTGCTTTTGACCACTTTTCCAAGTCGCTTTGGGTTCTTTGCTCGTACACCAGGTTCAGCCCCTTTGTGGAGGGATTCCGCTGGAACGCCACCGACTGTAGTATGGGCTGGTGGAAATGTGGGACCAGGAAGTCAAGTCACATTTCTTGAAGGAGAACTTCGCAGCCATTCGCCAAAAGTCTTTTGAGCGATCACATGAATATAAAATAATATAAATATATATATATATGTATGTATGTATATATATATATATTGAATTATATTAAAGTTCTTTTGTGAACCATTCTCAGACACTCCATGTATGGAAAACACAATAGTATACCTACATTGACAAAAACACCACACTACTGTAGGTCACGTTCTGTAGGTAAATGGTCAAGGGATTTGTATTCATCGATCCCAAACGGGTTGGTCTGACCGCTGCGCAGCGTCGGCAGATTCTCATCCTCGCATATGTCCTTGCATCCTATTGGCACCCTGGCGCCTGGCGCTGTTTGATTTCGTGTTTGCCGACGGATGGAGAACTCTGAGAACTCTCTCTGCAGTGAAGGGGGTAGATGTTTGACATTGTTTGACTCACAGAACTTGATCTGACAGTTGGCCTATGTTGGACTCTTTGTACCACACGCTAGATGGAAACATTATGAAACATGGTTTTATTGTTTAGGAGGTATGTGGGAGCAGCATTTTGTGTAAGCCGCATAATTTAAAATCCAGCCCAGGACATTCCAACAGGTCTGTTGCAGAAGTGATGTCAGGGGGTTATGAAAGGTGCTTTTTGACCGCTTGTGCCTGAGACTGAAACTCACCAATCCAAGGTACAACGTGGTGCACGCACCCTATGTCTACAACAGCTTGGACTGTGTGAATACAGCCAGAATGCTCGAGGGGGATGGAGGGGAGTGAAGGGGGCCAAATCCTGAACGTGTTTAGGCTGATTGATTTTCCCTCCCAAAGGAAGTACCCTCAGAGACTTTTGCTACATTTGGAGAGCTTCATGGATCACACAACATTCTCGGAAGGTAGTGGGACTTAAGCCCAAATATCCCCAAACACCAAACCTCAGAGATCCTCAGAGTCAGCGTTTGTGGACTATTCTAATGTAGGGAGGAGACTAAGATATGTCTCAACATGAAGAGACCAACCTACTGGGTTTCCATCTACTTTCTGAGGGGCTGTGAAGAAGGAGATGCTATGGAATGCAGATGGTGTTCTACATGGGGCTGGCTTTCAGTCAAGAGAATGCTGATATATCGCGATGTATCACGACATTTAATATACAGCACACACCCCTGCCAACATCCACCACTTTCAGAGGTCGTGGCCATTCCTCTCGGGTCTCATCTTCTGCATCCAACATCCCAAACGCCATTGTGGCCCCTCCGGGCTCCTTGGGATAGAAAGCCATCACGTTGCTTTTGATGTAGCGAGCTGACAAAGAAGTATGATTGAAACATATTGAAACATTAGAAACTGAACACAACATGCATGCTTCATGTAGTGTAACTATGCTGTAACGACAGTACTGTACTGTCCCTCGAGTGCTCCTCGAGTGCGACCAAAACGGCCTATCAAAAGAATTGTCCTTTGTAAGCAACAAAAGGATGCCACAGGAGCTCTATGTTGATGATTCTTGGAGTGCCCATGATCACATTGGTCTCAAACCCACCTATAGACACTCCCTACGTCGCGTCGCCCGCCTATCCGCCACGGTGCCACGATGTGCACCAGACGGCGATCCTGTTCTTCGTGACGCTGGTGGCGGGGCGCCGGAAGTTGGGACGCCCCAGTCGAGGTTCTTTACAAGCGGGATGGGTGGATGGAGGTACCAGCTAGGGAGGCGGGGAGGAAGTAAGAGAGGCATCTTGACTTGGCTCACACGTCCAGGGCCCCTTCGGCACCAAACCATACCAAACCCCATCTCCGCGCCCAAAGGGCGTTGACAGATGACTTGGGAGAGCCATGGAGACTCCGTTCACTTGACCCTATGGCAGATCAGGTGAGGAATACACCCAAGTGGTGAATAGACCGCTGACCAGATATATCTATACAAATACCAGCACCCCCAAGGGGTTGTTAATGGACACCCCTTAACTGCTAAGGGGCTATCAATAGACACCCCTCGGGGGGTCCTGGTATACCATATATGTTATACCATGGCCTCCTTAAAATAGGGTGTCTAAAACGAGCCCAATAGACACCCTTAGACACCCCCTTAAGTATGTCAATCAGCCCTGGTGACTGTGCGGCGGTCGTTCACCCAGCCAACAGATCGCCCACTCAGGCACCTCAGGCAACCCCAAACAGTGTAGCCGCAAGCTCCCAATGATTTTGTGGGTTTGGTATGGTTTGGTGGTTCATTTTCCCTACAATCTGGAATCGATGGAATTGCTTTTGGTGCTTGGTTTCCTTCCCAGACCAACTATATCTTACATTCGAGTCACAATAAAATGGGAGTACATCGTAAACGGATGTAAACGGTACTATATATACTGTATATTATATTATGTAATTCTTCCATACATAGATGGTCTGGGATTGCTCAAAGTTTCTTACGGCTCAGGCTTAGGCTTGGCCATGCACGGACTCCACATCGCTGACGGAAGGTTCTTCATGGAGAAGGGGCAACGCAGTCGGTTCTTCTATGACCAACAGCAGCCCGGAGCCTCGGGAGACATCCAGAAATCATCACAAATCCATGTGCATCGAGAAGCAAACAAAGGTTGGAGATCAACAGAGATCCTGGAACCGGGAAGGCGTGCAATGGCGTGTGAGTGACTGGGACAGTGACAGGGATTCACGAGGGATTATTAAGGAACGGAAGATGACCTGGTGGATTCGACCTCATAAGTCGGAGAAAAACAGCCTGTCCTAACCGAGATCCACTGAGATCCACCGCGAGAGATCCACCGACCGATCTGTTGTTTTCCATTGTTTTCCCCCAAACAGTGTGGTAACACGGGGTTCTTACGGTAGGTGTTAAGGACAGGTGTTTGATCGAGGTGCTCGCATTTGCATCTGGCTAACTCGCTGCTAACCCGCATTCACCTTGAGATCTTCGGAGTACATTTCGACTGCGCAGGCTCGCAGAATCTTGTGGGTTGGCGCGGGTGCTCTTCGAGACTGCGCTCTCGTTGTGGCGCCGTGCACATTTTCGGACCTGGTGATTACTTCTGATTCTCGTGGCAGGCGCATGGGAAACCTCGATTTTCGGTGGTCCACAGTCGACCTTTCGTGACAGGTGCAGGAGATCGGAGTGGCTTTTATGTCGATGTACAGATTTCGTGGCGGGCGCAGTACTTTGGGTGCTCTGATTTCGTGGCCGGTGCAGTGAATCGGGACTTTTGGACATGTGTGGCTCGTTTCAGAAATTGGCCTCTAGACTAGACCTCTAGCACCCTAAGACTGCGGCTTGTGAACCACCACCACCATCTTCACCATCACCATCATGACCTTCAACACCAAAATCAACATCACCACCATTAACATCACCATCACCACCACCATCACCATCATCACCACCACCACCATCAGCATCACCATCATCAGCATCGCCACCGCCTTCACCACCACCACGACCATCATCACCACCATCACCACCACCTTCACCACCTTCACCACCATCATCACCATCATCACCACCACCATGACCATCATCACCACCAACACCACCATCACTACCACCATTTCCACCACCATCATCACGATTTCTAGACCTCTAGACCTTAGACCTTTAGACACACTCTTTGGGGTCGCTCGGTGCCCACAAGATATGTTTGCTTCAGCGATGCTGATCAGGTGGAAGATTTCATGAACCCATGACAGAATATCATTTGAGATGAAACACCTCGCGTGACGAGAGCCAGATAGAACCTTGAAGTGACGGAATTGCAGATCATTGCGGTGCAAGGTCCAACTACTGCAGCGACTGCTCTCCCCCCCTTTTCTTGAATGTAGTCACTACCTCCACCCACACCATCTGCACTACTTCCGGGAATCGGGTGGTGAATCCTTCGCAAGGATCTGGGAGGCAAAGATGGTTGAAGTCCCCAAGAAAGAACTCCAGCATCTCCAGCCTTTCCTGACCACTGAGGAAGGCAGAGACCAAGAAGGTCTTTCACATCCTCGAGTACATGGTGCACGCGCAAAATCACCGCACATGCGCGCGCCGCGGTGGGACCAGGGTTCATTCATTCATTCATCGACATAACTTGAAGATGTCTAGAGCCGCCAGTTCGGCCTTTCGTTCATCTAAGGGGTATGAGACGTGTTTGGACCCAGTTGGGCTATGCTATGCGCTGATGATTCAACACGTATCTAGACTACTCCAACAGATAGCAAGACTCACACGACCGGGACCACTATGTGCAAAATAAATGTCGATGCCATTACCTGATGAGCTGGTGGGTAAACACCTTTGTGATCCTCTATGTATAATGGTTTGGGGTGTCCCAGCTACAGTAAATCCATGTAAATCCTCATGGCCCATGGAACATATATGATGACCAATGTCCTCCTGCAATGCCCCACTGGCAGGTGCCTTTTCACGTGATCTTGCCAATGCTGGAAAGCGCCTTGGCATTCTTCAAAAATCAATGAATCTCAGGGGCCATTTTCTCAACCATTGATGATGGGTCTTACATGGAAAACACATTGTTTCATCCCAGCTTCATGGAATTCTTGCGAGCCCCCCACAACTCACCCTTTGGGAAGAAACGTACGGAGGCTTCCTCGTTTGTCTCAGCTGAAATCAGAGGCAAACGGAAGGGTAGTGCGCAGAAAGGGTTTTGCAAAAACCATAGCTACTAACTTCGTGGAAGGTCCGGGACATACGTGGAACCCGGGGCTATTCGCAGGCGTTTCGTGGAATGGTGGGCCAGTGGAAAAACAAACCATAACAACAAAAAAACATAAAAAAAAATAACTGCGCGGAACTTTGTGGAAGGTATTTTTGATGCACTAAGACTAACTTCGTACAAACAATTTTTGATGACTCCCTTTCCACACACACATACACCCTCGATTTGAGCTGAGTGTTGTTTTTGACATGAAAGGGTTTATACAAGATGTAACCTTCAAAAGCTGGCGTAGGCAACCTGCTTAGGGACGTAGGCGGTCGCAGGCATTGCAATAAGTCTAATGTTTGTCGTAGGCGTTTGCAGTAGGCATTTGCCGTAGGCGACCAAAATCGACCGAAATTGCATGCCTTGAAGTCACCCAGCTTGTGTTTCTGATTCAAATTTGAATTGACAGTGGGAATTTTGTCTCAGTTTCTTGTAGCAGATGTGTTTCATCTCATAGTCTGGGACATGAACCAGGGGCAGTTTGCAAGGGCACTTGGAATGACCACCAGAGAAAAACGCAAAACATTGCAATGCAACCGCAATGCCAAGACTACCCTGGAGGTTAGAAAGGCCACTGTTTCTGTGTAAGAGGTGAGAACTCCCAACAATGTCCCAAACAACTCTTTTGTGCTGTTTTCCTGGTGACATTTTCCGTAGGCTCACCGTAGGTTCTCCGTACAGGCACCGCAGGCAAAAATGCATTTTGTGATCCTTCCCCCATGTCCGCTTGCCCAAAGTACTCGCAAGTAAATGTTAAAACCTGCTGTTCTGAGAAGTATTCCCAATGTCGAAGACATGGGGAGACTATACGCGTCAGTGCACGTCCCGCGTGGTATCGTCCCTCGCCTCCAAAGTAGTGTCCAAAACTCATTATGAGCATGAAGTCGTTGCTTGCTTGTCTTCCGTTGTGAAGCACATAGCCAATGAAACCAACTTGCCCATCGTAGAGTGCCTGTGTGCTGGCATTTGCCCCGTCTGTTTGCTAATGACTTGAGCCGCTCAGTCGAGCTCATCATCTGAAAGATAAAGGGTCAGCTGCTGCGTAAACGTTTCCACTCGCAAGAACTGCATGGTACCGTAGGCAAATTGGAACAGCAATGCTCCAGACTCCAAAACATCACGTTCTTGAATTTCCCGTAGGCGATGTGGAATAAGCTATGTTTGCCGTAGGCTTTCACTGTGGAAATGTAGACAAACCGTAGGGGTTCTACATAGGCACCCAAGGATGATAACACCACTACATCCTTAAAATCTTTAAACAAAACAATCTCTGCTCATTTGGCCTTCATGAAAGAAAGGATGGTTGCTCCCAGCTGATGGATATTGAAGCCATCTGCGCAGCTTTCAAGAGATCATAACTTCACTATCACTTCATCGAAAGCTCAGCCAAGCATTTGGGTTCGGTGGGTTCTGCTTGGGTTATATATATATATAACTGAGGGCTCCCCAGGACATCCAGCTCAAAAGAGGAATCATCGGGATGTCGCATCACCTCCTGCGCGTAGGCCAGGTTTGGCCTAGAAGGTCCCTGGTTTGGCCCGGGCATGCAAGTGAGCCAGCGGGGTTTTTTAGTATCCCTGAAATCATCGAGTTCACCAGGTGTCTCGTATTTGGAGCATGGTTATCCTTTTTGGGCCATGCCATCCGCATACTTATCAAGGATTCTTTCAAGTGTAGATGGACGCCCAGTCACCCATTGAGCTTCCCTTCGAGCTCACTCCCCACTACTGTAAGCAGTTTCCAGCGCCAGAACCGGACGAGCCCATTGCCAAGCAGAAGCCCGCGGCGCGCGGGGTCTCAGGATCGGTCGAAGCACCATGAAACGTTGTGTTGCAGGGACGCCAAACGTTGTGTTGCAGGTCTCACTCGACGACTCGATGCGAAATTGCTTCAAAGATCAGAACCTGATCATGGGGACATGGCGGGGGATCAAACAGCAACATGGTTTTTCTCACCATAAGCGAGCCGTTGCGTAGCTCTTTTGTTTTAATGTGGCATTAACTGCTTCAAGGTCGTGTGTGTGTGTGTGCGCGATCCTCCTTTGTACTGCCTAAAGTAAATCCTGGGTGTCTACTGCGCTTTTTGAACTTGCGAAATGGACAAATAATTGCTTTCAGAGCATGTAGGATGTGCAACACCAGGAGATAAATCCTGACCTGGCCTCTAAGTTGGAGAGCGGGGGCTATGGATTTATATACTGTAATTGTATCGAAAAACGAAAAAACAAAAAAATAGTTTTTGGGGTTGGGGAGGGGTCAGGGGACAGGAGACAAAACCTGTCTCTAAGGGCTCTTGACTTTCATGACTTTCATGACACTCTTTTTCCAACTTTCCAACATCATCTACATGTTGGCGGGGCTGGATGTTCATGCAAGTACCAGCCCACCAAAGAGACTTGCATCGAACAGTGGTATTGGTGAGGGCGCTCAACGACGTACTTGCGAGCAACGTTAAGCTCAAGCTGTCTCATTCGGTGCTTTGCAGTAAAGAGCAGCTAACGCATGTTCATGCACTAGAGCGGTACTGCGCACATGCCAGCAATCACTGAAGGGCGGTCCTACCGACCTCATTCTCAAGTGTGTGCATTGTTCACTTCCTGTTTGGACTCATTCACACATCCAGTGCGCCGCCACACGTTCACACACACGCTCACACTTTTCCGGGGATGTCAACCCTGTGGTAGCTGGACCATCGCCGTGGTGTTGTGTGCCTCTTTGCAAACTGTCATCGACTTCATAGTGGAAGGCCCCTAACGGCGGGTATCATGATCATGTGTTTCATTTTTTGTTTTTAGCACTTGAGTCTTCAACCACAACAAGCAAACATATATGCAAAATGTTGGGTTAAGACTCGGTTAAAACATATTAAGATATATTAAGTTTGTATGTTGCTCATGTGGATACGACATGATACGACTCGTTGTTATCGGGACAGCATGTTTGACACTGCGCAGTGCCACAGTTCAGGTCAGTGCTTTTCGTGATGATCGAAGGCTTTGATGAACATGCGGCTTGGACATACAATTGAGCGTAGTGGTTGCAAAAACAGGCATGATGTCCGATGCACTTGCAAGGGAATTCTCCCCATTCTACCGCCAATTTCACAGCGGGACCATCAATCTGATCAAACCGATGTGATATCCAATGCATGGACAGAGGATTCCCTTTTCTTGCATAGGAACTGGGCCAGGATGACCACTGCTCGCCCAACGACGGCCAGATGCTAGAACCCTGCTTCTCTCGGAAAGAAACTGCGGAAAGGTCATTGAATTGACCGGGGATCTCTCACCGTTTCCACAACCCTGACAATCCATGTACTCGTAAATATAAGTTTATTGGGGTGTTTTTTGGTCAATGTATATAGGTATAATGATTTTGTATGTGTATTTTATATTCCATACATGGTGTGTCGGGGTTAGAGTTCTCACTGGTAGTTCGAAGTCCCAAGTCCTGGGACTCGTTTTGGACGTGAAACAACACTTAAAACCACATTGCGCAACAGAGCGGCGGTTCAGGGCTCCCTCTACATCCCTTACCGAAGTGTGGCAACGGGTTTGAAGGGGGTGTGCAAAAGTGAGGAGTTTACATTGAATTATGACTTGGGTACCTAGTCGTGTGCGAGCAAGATACACGTTTCCCTCCGGAAGAAGAGTAAATCCAAACAACACAAACAATAGGAAAGGAGAAGTCGGTAAATCCATAATAAACAGGAAAATAAACCATGAATATCCTCAATCTCCGTGCCAGGCCATCCATGTCTAGAATCATTGTCTACATACACATCACAGTGTGTTCTCTTTTATGGCCAATGTAAGATCATCCGTGTTGTTCTTCCATGGATCCATTGGCGTTCTTCCACCGGATCTGCTGGGCGCTAACGCGCCTGTCTCAAGGCGAGACACTTGGGACCTGAGAAGCTCATGCAATTTCTGAACGACAGGCGAGTTTCGGCGTTTCTTTTACGGCGACCAACGAGGTGGTCGGTGGCCTAGGACTCTGGCTGTTGGTGATGCTTTTTGTACTTGATGGATCTTTTTGTACCTAGCGACTAGCGACCTATAACGACCTTCCGCATCGATCGGATCCACATGGATCGTCACGGATCCACTCTTCCAAGTCGGCCGTTTTCCCTGTGGATCACTGGTGATGCGCCACTTTTCGCTGGTTCACGTGGACCACTCTGATGGACCCCGCAGGTTCACACTCATGGACCACGTGTGTAGCCGGCATTCGGCCTGGAATCCCGGTCGACGGCGAGGCGGTGCGAGGGGTGACGGGCGGACGCAGGCGATTGCTGGAGGATTTTTACTGTAACGCATCGTGTACACCATTCGATCCGAGGTGATTCAAGGTGACACTCCCAATGGTCTAAGCGATCAGAACAGCGCCAGGAACTCCCAAGTAAAGGCTTAGTAAGAGGATGCAAGAGGGTTAATCCAATGTTGTTGTTAGATGTTGTTTTTATATAAAGGCTTGGTTCACCTATCAAAAGGGCCCTACAGTCCTACTTTCCACTTTCCATTCATGGCTAGTATCCATAGGATTTGGCGCTTGGGCTGCAGAACCTTCGAAAGGAGAACATCAATCTGCTTGGAGAAAGCTTGATCTTCACCGGTCGTTATCGGCCTGTCACAAGATGTTTCTAACTTAAGTACCCCGTGGTGTGATCAATCAGGCTCGTTTTTGAAAAGGCCACCTGTGAATCCCTGCTGTTGAAGCAAGAAATCCAGCAAGCCACCCTGTTTCACAGGATGTCACAGGACATCCTGCAAATTCCCCACCATCGTATATAATTCAAGGTCCACAGACTGAAAGAATCATGGAAGTGGAGGAGTTCACCACCTGTTTTGTATTAAGAGGAACCATGTTCGGGCTTCCATGTTCGACGTAACCATGATGATCTCAAGGAGTGTACTCATTTTGGGGGGCCAGATCCTCAGTCACGGACAAGACCAAGCGGCTTTGAGGTACGGCCCAAACGTATTGTTTGGAGCATTTGGGTGGGTCAAAGATGGTCAAAAGGTATCCAATATTTGTTTCAAACAAGCGCCCCAAATCATGATGTACTCATAGGAGAAAAAGATGACACAGTGGAGCCAGGACGTCAATCGGATGAACTTGAGCAGTTGGTCCTACCCCGTACATGTGGTAACCTGCCCAGCCCTTTTTGGGCGGATTGGGGACAACCCACGAAAATCCTAACCGGTGGAAAGTTTGGTTAATCAAAGATTAAATCAGGATGACCCCTAACAGGTTAATCAATGCCCAGGTTAATCCTAACAGGTTAAAATCCTAACAGTTCCAAAGATCTTTGGCTTTGGGGTCCATGCTTGAACTTTGGAACTGGTCGATGCGGCGATGATGAGTTCCTTGGGCTGCGAGGTCACAAAAATTGAGACCGTCGGAGAGGAGTATGTGCCAGGGACTGAGGTGAGACAGGCAAGTTGGACCCACGCTTGGAGCGCATGATTGGATAGGGCAAAAGGGTCGTTCAACCCTGGTAGGGTTGTACAGGGCTGAGATGTAAACACATTACACAGGCAGAGCAGAACGGAAGAGCAGAGAGAAAGAGAGAGGGAGAGAGAAACAACAACACCTAGAGTTTTCTGAATGAACACTGCACCCAGACCAGACTGTCTACAAGGTATTTCATGGTAGCAGATTCTCATTATTTCTCATCATTTCCTGGATTTGGCCAATGCATTGGCAGCCAGGTGGTGATCCAATGTGTCTTTCAATGAGATAGGTTTCAAGGGGAGTAAGGCTAGTTCACATCTACTGTACGTTAGTCACGTGTCATGTGAGTTACATGAGTCACGTGGCCATCCCACACTGCTCCCCGCTTTGCGTAGGCGAAGACCCGTTGGACCCGATGAAGCTGTCGTGCTTTGTTTTTTTCCGGTACCTGACCGTGATGAGAACACGAGCAAGACCTGCAGGGAAGTGATTCACCCTGCATACCCTGCATGCGAGCATGACCTGCGTGTTTTTGCAAGTCTTTTTCCGGTTCCTGAAGCCAAATGCACGCCCTAGGGATCCACATGCCACCCTCTGAGACTAGGTGATGTGTGGAAAACACTGAGACGTGAGACGGTGCCAGGAGCGTCCAGTTCGTACCTTTTGAGGTTCGGTAAGGGAAGGTGGAAGACGCTTGGATGCCCTGGAACCATTCGGTTCTGTTCTCGTGGATCTGCACTCAGAGAACAATTGGAGGATGTCCTGCTGAGCCTGAGGTGCGCTGTGGGCGTTGTTCCGGAAGACGATCTCGAGGCCAGGACGAAACATGTGGCGTGGAGTTTCCGTTTGTCCCTACACTTGGAACATCACTCGGCAGTGAATTCGTTCAGCTTTTCTGAACTTGAGGGCTTTCACCCGCCACCCACCCATAGCTAGCTCCGGCTTGGCGCCACTGTTCGCTTCGGCTCGACCGGGGACCCATGAAACACCGGACAGAACACACGGTCCGTGTCGACCGCGCCCGGACCGACCACACGCAGCCAGGCGGGAGACTTCGAGGGGCGCAGCAAGGTCTTAGGTCGACTTCTGCAGGTGGGGTTTGAGTTGCTTGGACTTTCCCAGGAGAGGGTTCCGTTTCCTTCAACGTTCATTTCCCAGCTTGCAGATGTTCCCCTTTCTTTTAATTGCTTTGTTGATTTTTTTTGCTTGGTGTTGCCATGTTTTTCCAGGTCTTTTGGGAGGATAAGCAATACTATGCAATACTAATAAGGAATAAGTGTCTCTTTTGATGTGAGAAACAAAAGTGACGATGAGTGAAGAAAGGTGGAGAAGAAACAGCACGGTAGTTCTAAACACATTGAACTAGTGAAAGCGCCCAACCAAAGTTCCTATAAGGTTTGTGCATGAATGTCACAGTGTTTTGCTTCTAAGATGTTTTGAGGAAGTCTGCAACCCTCCAACCCTTCACAGGCCGCCGCTGAGATCCTGGCCGCCGGGAGCCCCAACAAACGCGATCTGTCAGGTATAGACAACTGTGCTTTTCTGGAGCTAAGACATCAAATGGATTATGTAATTTGAATTAACTTGAGCAGTTTGTCTCACCGAAACGTGGATAACTTGTCCAACCTTTTTGGGGGGGAATTGGGGAGACCCCACGCACTAAAATCGAGGTGGAAGTTTAGTAGGGAAACGGCTCGGGGGTAAGAGGTTGTGACTTCCAGACTGGGACCTTCGAAGATCTTCTCTAAAGAAAGTTGTAGGGTTGAGGAGACGCAGGTGAGCTTAATTTTTTGTACTAGATTAATGAACGCCACTAAAGCTTTGGGAAGGGAATGGGTTCACAAAGGGGTCTTGATTCTGGGGATCGCGTGTTTGGGCATACACACACACACTCATAGTTTTCTCAAAAGTTAGGTCTCCCCCCTTGTGAATTCCTACTACTTCCACCATGTCTCAAGCTCACCCACCATGTCTCTGTGCCAGGCCTCCAAAAGGACTTCCCAGGCGTGAGGTGGTTAAGCGGGGCCAGGGCTTGACCTGAGCTTTTGTTCCCTAGGGCTCCTGTCCCATATCCTCAGGTTCGGTGGTTAGACCCCCTTGGCCACCTGAACCACCTTCGAAACGGAGGTAGGCCAGGAGCCCTAGGCGTTTCTCATCCAAGAGTGTTTGTATATTTTGTTTCTGCGGGTCTGTTGGGGTGAACGTTGGTTGAAAGACCCTAGAACAATGGGTGAAAGGTGAACTTGGGATGGTCGGGGGGCATCCGAAGGTGTTGCTTCAAGTCCACTGACCGTGGTGATATTAGGTTATATCATGCTCTCGAACGGACCTTTAATCTTGTGGTTTTGGGGGGCATGGAGAATGGGTGTCCACTGTCCCATCCATTCACAGGGATTGCTCAGCTCCTTTCGACCAAAATTGTAAGTTCGCTTGAACATGTTCTGGCAGTACTTTGGTCCTTTTCTTCGGCGGATCGCCCGAACCGAGATCCGGTCGACCTGACCAGTCACGGCTTCGAGCTGCCCAAGCCTTCACGCCAGGGATCGACCGTGACCTTCAAGATGGGCATGCACACCGGCCCGGTAGTGGCAGGACGGGAGACACTGGCGCTGGAAACGTACCCACGCGGGTGGGCGCGGGAACCCGCGGTCGGGCTTTGTTTGGAGCGGACTGTGAAAATGCCAATGGATAGCAGCGATACAGACTAGTCGGCTAGCACAAGAAGAGGCTACTAAACATGCATGTGATTTGGATTATTTTGTTTGTCCTAGTTAGGGAGAAGCCCATGTAGATTGGTATCATGTCAATTGAACAAACTTAGCAAGCCACTTGCTGTGGGGAAGATGACTTCAATATTTCCACCCAACTGATGCAGCATGTTGGTTGTGTGTGTGTCACCCCCTGTCTCAAAGGGTTACTTCCTACCGTTTCCACTACCAAGCAGGGGGATGCCCCACACCTGAGAGGGCATCTAACAAAGAGGTTCTTCAGGATGTGCTGATATCAGCAAGGACGCTTGCTGACGTACCTGCACCTGCAACTGTTGTTCACACTTTTCCACTTTCGATTTGATTCATGGTGGTTTCGCACGATACCTTCCCCAAAAACAGGTTTCCCACCGCAGCTTTCAGCCGCTTGTGAATTGCAGCCAGCCGCGCGAGTGAAACATCTTTTCAACAATTCAAGTCACCGAACTTTTTCGCCTTGCCGTTCCACCACCTTCCTTCTCAACTTGGGAACTGAGTTAACAGCAAACCAATGTCAGAGTGTGTTGCGGTATACACCAGATCGCATTGGACCGATACCAACTCCACGCTTGACTTTCCACCACTCCACATTGTTAGTCGTAAGTGTTTGGTTTTACAATTCTACACGGAGTCAATGCACCTGTTAGGGCTTCATGTTGTCATGAATTCATACTTTGTCTACTGGCCAAACAATGTCAAGAAAGCTCCAACAGCTGCATGTGTTTTGCAGGACTCCTGGTTCATGGTTCATCCTCACGCCACACAATATTCATGATGATGCAACTCCTCACAGAAGACAGAACGTAACTGTAGTGTTTTTTGTTACAGGAACAAACAAACCAAAACAAACAATCAAAAAACAACAAACCTCTTGATTCTGTTTTTATTAATAGACAAAAGCTGCACTTTACTTACCGTGCATGTGTTTTTGTTTGTCTTTACACGCACTGCTCTTCACCGTCACAGCTGAGCTTTCACCGCAGCGAACATTCAACACCACCTCACCCTTTGTTGACGTCCTTTCGTGACGGCAAAATCGGGGACTCACCAGGCGTCATCGGCCAGAAGCTCCCGCGCTTCCGGCTCTTCGGAGACACGGCTGCTCGGCGCACCTGCGCGTCGTGGGACATCCACGACCCGGAGACTTCAACCTGGACCTTCAAGGAGTGTCCTGTCTGGAGGTCCCGGATAGTGTAGGGGCTTCCATTGGTGATCCCTTTGAAGGTGCTGGAAGTCACCCTGTTTGAAAGTTTTGAACGTGCGTGTTTCTGAGGTGAATACAGCAGCACGGATGATGCAGAAAGGAGAGTCTGGCAGTCTTCAATTCGGCAGGGCTCCCGAAGTGCGCACTGGTGATTAGCTGTTGCCAAGAAGTGGAATTTTGTCCGACAACTCCTGTAACCATGCGCAGTGAAGAGCTGGAACCTAGCTTCCATCGTGACAGTTTTGGATTTGCTCAAATGCCTCATTCTCAGTCATACCGGTCTTACCCCATGGACCCAGAGGGTACGTGACCCGTGCAACATGTTGTGGTGTGGGGCTACACATTTGAGGGCCATTTTGTTGGAAGAACCACATTTGACAACTCATGTGGGAAGGAAGGTTGATGAATGACAAGTGGATTTGTGTGGGCCAACCTACATAGAAACAATAGATTTCAATCGAGCTTTATTCAATTCAAAGTCACTGATATGAGACAACCGCCGCAAGCCCTGCCCAACCACCTACCCTTCTTCTGGGCACATCAAGTTGGTGGGTTTGGGTTCGTTGCTGTAGTCGTTCCAATTCTGGAGAGTCCCAACTGCAGAGGCTCTTTGATGGAAAACCGTTTTTGTCAGACAAGACAGACAAGCATTCAAAACACTGAAAACCGCCAAGGCGCCAGCTCTATTTCATGTTGGCAGTTTGTATGTAAATGCTCTTACATTTAAATGCTGAATACTTGAAGGAACCCTAATTCACCAACCCGTGAATGTGAGCCCCGAAAAGGAGCCCATGGTCATTTCAGAAGATTGATTCAACTGATTCAACACATCAAACACCTTCGATGAACTTGGAGAGGCAGGTGGAAACTGGACATCCACCCCATGGACGAAACTAGACACTGGACAAGGCCAGAATTGATTCAAAGGTTGCGGACATTGTATGATATCGTGACACTTTTTGTATACACACAGAATCATTCTTATACATTACATTGTACAACTGAACAAGTTCCAAAGCAAACATGGTTTCCACAATGTTTTCCACAACTCAATCTGATGCCAAGCATTTTTCTCGTTCCATCTCTTTGACAGCCAAGGTGAGGAGTGCCGAACCCCGGTGTGTGGGCGGGAACAGCAGGTTTGCACCACCAGTCGTGGGTTGGAATAGTGTTTTCCTGGAACAGATGCTTTGTTGGGTCGACAGCTTTGTGAAGTTGAAGACATATAGATCATAGATGATCATATTGCGTTTCCTAGCAATTTCAAGGCATCCCCAGCAAAAGGAAGAAATCAGTTACATTTGCAGATAGGGATCCAATGGCCTCAGATAAACTCTCTCAATCATGCTGAGTCGTGCAGCATTTGCCTCTTCAGGCTGGAACACCCAGGATTGTGTTGGGCTAATCAGATCAGATGCACAAATACCATTGCACGCCCTTTGAAGCGCAAAACACCATGTCACTGTCACCGTGTTTTTGTTGCCCTCGTTGCCCACGGCCAACAGCCACATTGCCACCTTGCAGGTTAGCCAAGTGGTACTCTAGCAGCCCCAACACCTCCAAGGCTCTATGTGGATCCTTGTTGGGTAGTATGCACTTCATCATGCTGGGAGGCAAAAGGAGGATTTGTTGCACTTGTTGACAGGCAAAGATCGTTGTTCATTTTGGGCCAGTCAAGTTTCCGTGATGGGCCAGCTGCTTCTCCTTTGCAAGAGAAGTGCTGGAAAGTGCCGCCATGAGCCTTCTTTGGACGGTCAAAGAGTCCAAGAAATCTCATGTTCAGCGAAGACGGCACGAGCGGGAAGTCGAAGCCAAGCAAGCCGAGCAGTTTGTGGCAAACGTGGTCAGCGGCTTTGAGCCCCCGCCCTTTGAACTGCCAGCAGAGGAGCTGGAACAACGGTTTTGTGTGCCTGCAACATGCCTAGGCCATGATGAAGACAAAAGAAGAAGCACGTTTAAATACGTTTAAAGAACTTTGGAGACCCGTCTACAGTAGAATGTTTACTCAACTAGATTGTATAATTCTGTATATCATATGTTCAATTCCACTGGTTTATGTCAGGCTTAGTCATTGGAAAGAAGGGCGAACATTTGAAGTCTGTGGAGAAGAAGTTTAAGGTGTCCATCAAGTTGGAGACAGACGACAAGAGCGGTGAAGGCCTGGTCATCATCTCCGGCGAATCTTCGAAATCTGTTTCCGCTGCGCGGAAAGAATTGGACTTTGACTACAAAAGTGTTGAGGTCACAGCAGAAGAGGCCAGCTGGTTGAAAAGAAAGGCTATGACCCTGAAGCTCATTCGTGACATGACTGGTGTGACATTGCTTACTTTGAGAAGTGAAACGAACTCCACACCAGGTGACGCCACACCAGGTCACTCATATGTGGAAATCAAGGGCCTTCGAAGTGAAGTGGAGGCTGCGGCACTGTGTTTGGATGCCCACATGAGCTACTACTCGGTCTTTGCAGAGATGGAGCAGGTGGAGAAGGCTCTCGATGAGCGCATTGCGGCGGCCAAACTGCAGACTGCAGGACGACAGGTGAGAGGGAAGCAATTCAAATACCTTGGAGGGACCTAAAAACCGATGATTTGGGATCCAAAGTCGCTTTCAGCATGTGGTCCTTTACATTTCATCGGGATCTTTGATCTTTACATGTCATTTTGCTTGGACCGGCGACAAACACCGAGAAAAACCCACCGTTCCGCCCCCTCAGGTGGGCGTTCCCTCCCGCTCCCAGTCTCGGAGAAGATCCAAGTCTCGAAGTGAAGGTCCGAACCTCGGTGCCTCCGCGTCCGTGCTCCGAACCGAGTGGTGGGGTCGGGGGAGCGTTCCAGCTCCGCGCTCGCTCCGCGAAGCTCGCTGTTGTGGGTTGGTGATCCCAGGTTTTGCTGGCATTCATTCTGGTGAGTGCATGCAGTTGGAATCAGTTAGACTTGGGCATAAGGATCAAAAGGCGGCGCTAATTGCTAATTACTGAAGAAACTCGGTGTAAAACATGCACGCAGTGCACGAAAGCTCTCGGCTAGCCCTCATTCAATCTCATTCAGATTCTGATGTCCTGCATGTGAATGACATTGAATGACCAAAACGTTGATGTTCTTGGTGTCCTTTGTGATGCCCGCCCCACCGAAGGTCGCACCACCTCGGCGGCTCGCAGACTCGAGCCTCCGCGCGCGGGATACGCGGCCGCCCCCGCGGGCGGTCGCACGCGTTCTGAGTCTCCGGGAGCCAAGGGTTCCAAGGGCGGCCGAAAGTCCAAATCGGAGCTTGGACAGGCCACGGCTGGGAAGAGCTCGATCGGCGCACCGTCGCGGTGGCGAGGCCGAGGGCGCGGAACTGGAGCCGGCAGTGGAGAGTGAAGGCTGTGAACATGCTGCGAAGATCTGCAGTTGTTTCATAAAAAACGGATACAGTAAGAAGAGCCGGGAATGAACCAAGTGACAAGGGATTCAACTCGCTGAAGCTGCCAGAAGTTTATATACTCTCCACCACACAACACTGTAATACTATGATGATGTAACAAGTCCTCTTTATAGAGTCGGCAAGTGTATGCTTCTTCCCTAGGGAAGCTTGAATCCACGCATCCACACCCAAGGGACTGTGACTCGAAAACCAGCTGAGCAGCTCTGGAGCACTGGAGCATGTCTCCAGAACTGGCGCTGGCCTGTGTGGCTCAAGAACTGGCCTATGGACTTCAGCTGTGACCCTTCGCATCTACAGAGATGTTCAGATGCTAGACTTCCCCTGACCCATTGACCCATCGGATCAGACCACAAGAGCGCTTTGCTGTGTTGGTCAAGCCAGCCGCAGACAGCAGTTTGTGGGCGTTCTTTTTGGACCGCGGTGAATCCATCCATGTGTGAAGCCCCGACAGGTGTGACGTTGGTTTGGCAGGCAACGTTGCCTTCGAATTCGGAAGCAACATCCCATGAATCAGGTCATGGAATCGACCCAATGTTGTCCCCGGATCCAGTCTTTGCCACCAGACGAAGACTGGCTGTGCCCAGAACATCCCAGAACCCCAGTTGCAGTCTATTTGGAATCCTATCTGAAAAAAACACAAAAACATACAAGTCCACTGTTTGATGATGTTTGCTTCGGGTTGTGTAACAAAAATGGTTCCATTCATTTCGGCCGCACCGAGAACCGAGAACTCAGCGAACGCGGTTGCCGCCGGCCGGGGATCCGCCCCGCCATGGAGCTCCGATAACGTGCGAGCTGGGAGCCGTGGAGAAGCGCGAGCGATGCCCAGGAGCGAACGGCTGGGCGATGGACTTGGAGCAATGTTCGCTACGAACGGAGCAAAGGGCATCGCTACTAGGAGCAAGGACGCTACTTGGGGCTCTTGGCCGTACTACTAGGAGCAAGAAGCTACTGGGGGCTCTTGGCCATACTACTAGGAGCAAGAAGCTACTGGGGGCTCTTGGCCGTACTACTAGGAGCAAGAAGCTACTAGGGGCTCTTGGCCGTACTACTAGGAGCAAGAAGCTACTAGGGGCTCTTGGCCGTACTACTAGGAGCAAGAAGCTACTAGGGGCCTGGCCGTACTACTAGGAGCAAGAAGCTACTGGGGGCTCTTGGCCGTACTACTAGGAGGAGCAAGAAGCTACTGGGGGCTCTTGGCCGTACTACTAGGAGCAATGTTCGCTACTAGGGGCTCTTGGCCGTACTACTAGGAGCAATGTTCGCTACTGGGGGCTCTTGGCCGTACTACTAGGAGCAATGTTCGCTACTGGGGGCTCTTGGCCGTACTACTAGGAGCAAGAAGCTACTAGGGGCTCTTGGCCGTACTACTAGGAGCAAGAAGCTACTGGGGGCTCTTGGCCGTACTACTAGGAGCAAGAAGCTACTAGGGACTCTTGGCCGTACTACTAGGAGCAAGAAGCTACTAGGGGCTCTTGGCCGTACTACTAGGAGCAATGTTCGCTACTAGGAGCAAAGGTCGAAAGAGCAAAGCAACGTGTGCGAGTGAACCCCGCCGAGTGCATGGGGGTTTTGCAGCAACCTGTTGTGGATCATATGAGTGTCCTTTTTCTGCCTGCCAAGGATTCGTGAGTCTTGTGAATCGATGGTAGGCCGGGTTGTTTGAGGGATGCAACATCCATGACATCAAGCTATTCTACCGCCTTGGCATACAGGGGTTCTGGTTCCATGCTTAAGAACTTAAGAATCTAAAAATGGGACACCATGCCACACCTGACAATTGAATCATGACGATCAGCGTGCGGCAGGACTAGAGACGATAGCATCCCTTGCCAGCCGCTCAAATACGAGTATATAATTAGATATAATATAATATATATATATACATTATGTATATATATTTCGTACCAGTAACATAAGAGGTGTATATAGTGTATTCATATATTCATCTAAGTTCATCTATATTCCATTTGTGGTTGTTGATACCTTCTCTTCCTTTGACACATGATGACACCTGTACAGATTTGATCGAAGTTGGTCGTGAGTTGGGCATTATTATGATAGGCTGCTGCGACCGCGGGCACATGATCATTTCTCACAGTCAGTTGTCAGTTGCCCTCCAACAAATATGTACTGTAAGTGGAAGCGCCTCTCTTGGAGTAAGACACTTACAATTTGTCAAGGAAACATGTTCCATTTCCATGTTTGCTGGATTTATGGAACATGGAGAGTACCATTGAAGGTTTTTGGGCTGTGTAGCACCGAGCATGTTCTCTCGAGGATGCCGATGAGATGATCCATCAAGCTGTGGGCTGGAGTGAAGACATCTCCTTTGCGGAATTGGTCCAAAGTCCATTCATATTCATGTCGCTTTCTCTTCCTCGCCCGGAAGAGCTAAACTGCTGCTAGTGACACTAGTGGTTTGGTGCTGTCAAGCCCTGGCTTGCCATGCCAGGAGCAGCTACCTCTTTCAGGCCGACTTGGGAGATCCAGTCTCATGTGTCTTCGTGAATGTACCTTGGCCATACTGACTGGCGCTCTTTTTCTGCGTGACGGACGTGGACGGGCGTCATCTTGGAAGAAACGACGCCTCCCCAAGCCCCAGAAAAAGACCGAAGAGGACTCTGGGGTATAGTTCACAGGTGTTTCTTGTTCCATTTTTTTCAATTTACACACTCCTCGGTCATCCGACAGGTCAGAACACGACTACCCCGCACCATTTATTTATGGATATATGTATGGTCCGCTGGACCCCCATTGGACACCCAGGACGGATGATGGATGGTCCAGGGTGATCCCGGAGATAGGAACAGTTACAGTGGTTTCAGAGAAATTATATAGATGTCACAAACTCCTACATGTCTTATAGATGGCGGTCCATATAAAACACCAAACTTGGGGGCCCTTGTGCTATCTCTCAATCCACTACAATCAACTTCCCTCTTGGGCTCACCTGCTTCTTGGGCTCTCTGCTCACCTTCTCTGTTGGGAGATCATTCTTCGATGCACTGAAGGTGGGAGGTCGATGACGCTTCACACTTGGAAGACCCATCATTCATCCCAGTCGCAGAGCTATGGTTTGGGTGTGATGCACGGGCTTGGTTACTCCTCAAGCCTTTTTTGACTGAGTCCAGGCCCTTGTTTCTCTTTACATGGGCATGTGTGTGTAGCTCACATGACCCCGCCTCAATCACCCCTCGGCTGGAGTGGTTGGAATTCTGCAGTGGATGGGGTATTTTTGATGCTTCATTTTCCCGCTGACCATGGCTCCGTGTGCCCAACAGCCACGAAACAGGACTTTGGTTGCATGGCTGGCACCATGCTGGGCAAGGCACCGATTCGGGAGCACGGCACGTGGTGGCGCCACGCGTCCGCGTGATGGACTGATTAACTTCTAGATTCTAGAAGGCAGATGAAGTCCTGAAGGCAGTACCTATAGGTACGAGATGGATGTGAGCAAGCTTCCGCCAACTCCAAGAAAACATGAGAAGCATTGGATTGCGATGTAAAGAATTGTTCTTTCATTTGCAGCTGCCAAGATACGTGGATAAGAACTTCCATCAATAACTGCGAACACACTTTTCCGCTGTTCCAGCTAGCTTTGGGATCGAAAAGGCAAATTCAGATAAATTTAGAGTGCTGAAGTCACTGAACATTGATGCAACATGATGCAACACAATTTAGGGTTATTCAATTAGTAATCTTTAGGTGACCCGCAGAGGAACTTCCTTTACTGCAGTGGGGCAAAATAGAGTCTTGGACATCTAAGGATCATGTATGCTATTGCGGAGGATCAACCCTTACGGGTCAGATCTGAGCATGCATGATCTTGCCAAGCAACCCTGGAATCGAGAACCTTTGTACTGACTTTGGTGTCACAATCACATCACATCCGCCACCCCTTTTGCAGAGTGGTGTCCCTGCGTCCAAAGAACATTCACACCCGACACCCAAGCGACGTGAACGGCGTTGACTTCATGATATTTGCATGTTGGTCGCTACTGTAGTTCTTTTGAGTAGATATGTCCAAAATATCCCTTTCAGTTCGGGGTGTTGATAGACAACCAAGTCATGAGTCATGTGGTTATGTACGCCACGCAGGCTAACTATTGGGCTGCCAAGAGATATGACCAAACCGGCATTATATTCAAGGGCTGCTCCAGGCTCGTCATAGGTATATAATATATAGCTTAGATCCCAGATGTTGTAACACCTGGCAGACACCTGGTTGTGTGCCTTAGTGCAGGTCATGTTCTACAACTTTAAGGATGGTGAGGCTCGGGCTTCGAAGTCGTGTGCCGCGAAAAAGGCCGTGTCGGTCGATCGCACTTGCAAATATGGAGAACACAGTAATCACAAGAAACCTATTTGTCTTTAAAGCTTGTGATTACTAATGAAAGTTCTTTCATTAGTAAAAACATCATTTCATTCATATGGCTTTTAGGAGACCTCCTTTGCCATCTAAGAATGACCTGGTTTTCTTCTTATGTGGTCTATTCATCGGGTGAGTCGCGTCACGTGCGGCCGACGGGTCATGGCTGGCCGCTAGACTCCAGGGATCCATGGCGACCTCCCTTTGTGCTGGGATCATGCCATGCAAGGCCCATCTCAGTTCCACAGACCAGGGTGACCCTGGGGTGACCAGGGTCCTTGCTAAGGTCTCTCAACCTCTCTTGGATCTTTATAGCTCCCAGTGTTTAGCAGCTTTTTGCAAGTGAGCCTGCAGGCAAAGCTAAGCACCACAAGGCGGACAGAAGGGCAAGCTGGTAGAAGGGCACCGGCTTCGTCAATCAGGAACTCCGAAACAAAAGATTGGCTATGGTGGCCGCTCCCGAAACGAAGCGCACTCCTGTCTTGCGTGATGCTCGATTATGGTGATGAAGGTGAGACAGGGAAGATGCAGGGACGAAGTGGATAAGGATGCTGCCGATCCACAAGCATAGCTGGTGGCAGAAGTGTACAGTATATATTATTTTACAATCGTGCGAGATGTCTCAAGAAAGTCTGGTGCCTCTGTTGATTTGTGTGTGTTGATGATTGCAGCTTCGCAATGCAAGGGGCCAAGCTTAGGCAATTTGTTCCTCGTGCGCCATGGCCATTGAAAGACACGAAAGCCCCTCCTCGAAGGAATCAAGATCAGCAGCAAGCCGATGAAACGGACTTCTGCGACAACACGTTTGTCCTGCAACTGTGATCAGCTGCGGGGCATTGCCAACATCAACTCGCACCAATGGACCAACGGCTCTTTACAGTAGACTGTACAGATGACAAAGTAGAAAGACTATGGAAGACTCCGACTAAGAGGTTGAGATCCATTGTCAATTGTGTTCGACCTTAGCTGTTCCCCAGAAGCACATGGGGTTTGCATGATTGATCGAACTAGCCACCATGTTTGGGCCCTAAAATGTTCGTCATTAAAGGAGGGATTGACTGGTGCCTCCCCAGGTGCCTTCCCCAGGTGCCCACAGCAAATCAGCGGAAAAAATCCGCGGAACCTCCGTGAGGCAGAGATCTTGGCGGCCTTCTCGGACGAGGGGGTGCGAGGCTGGAGACGTACAGTGGCTGGAGACGTGGGAAGCGGGGCGTGGTGCTGCTCATTATTGATTCATTATATATTTGTCATTATTTGTCTATATATTTTTGAAACCTGTGGCCATGCATCTAACGTTTGTTCAATTGATTTGGGGGGTTGGCCAAGAATAGAACACCTAGAATCATTGAGTCATATTGCCATTGTTGCTGCTAGTGGTTTCCCCTTTGCTTTGTGACCAAGCTGTCACACAGGACATCTTCGTGTATGGCTAAGTTGCGATCCAATAAAAACTGCAACACTGATGACAAGGACGCAGACTTGGATAAGTTGATCGTACATGATTGTTTAGCATCAATATTAATATCAACAGCCTATTTGTGAGCAGCGCTATTTGTGATCAACATTAACGACCACCAGTGATGGTTGAAATTCACTAGAGATGGCTTTGCAGTACTTTTCACCACTTCTTGAAACACATGCTACTTCCTCAACATGGTGAACCCCCTAGACCAGTGGAGACTGGTGTGTTGTTTCGAGATGTGACGTCAGTGACGTCGATGCTCTCTTTCTGGGATAACTAACGTGGATCCCAAGGTTTGATCGTGCATGAAATTGGACTGACCTAGGAGATCCATATACCGTCCAAGGGGTGTCCAAGAGATCCTCAAGTCGTGTTCCTTCTCTCTCCGGGTTCGTCCCTTGAAAACCACGTTGGATGGCAGACGGCAAGCCCAGCGGCCTGCGGGTGACGACGTTGGTGTCTCCTCTCCTCGTGGTTCAAGAACCCATAACGTAGACTCTTGATTAATAACCCCCCGCCATTAGGATTGAGACACCTCTTCATATAAGGGGGGCCTATGAATCAAGAGTCTACATTAATTACTTGTCTCAGAGTTCTTTGTCTCGCAGGGCTCTACTTGGATCAAGAGATGTGCTACAGTACCCTGATGGATCTTTGCAAAGGCCCGGGCGCCGTGTGAACGACCGATGTCCGACCAGGAGCTCCAAGCACTGCAGTTTAAGCCTTGGCAAAGGTGCTTTTGATGTTGATTTCTCCATGTGGTGATTCCCTTGGGGAAGATTGATCATTTTCCAGATGTTTTGTTCCTCAAGCAAATCCAAGTGAGCCTCACAAGTGGGTTTCTACTTGAGAAACCTCTACCCGCAAAATTCAGGCGTCTCGTAGGATACCTGAACAAAGGTCACAACCGCAACAAGCTCTTTTGTACACTTCCTCTTACACAGCCCCTTGCACAGCCTTTGCCTATCATTTGGAGGCAGCAAACGTGTGCCCAAAATAGAAAAAACAGCACGGACCAATTCTTGGATGAGCGACATCAACTTGATGTCAACCTCACGCAGCTGTCGACCACGTCGGTCTGACCACGTTCGGCTTGGTCACGACGTGGTGGGCAATGAGTTGTTTGTGCCGCCTGCACAAAAAGAACCGGGTGTTTGCTGACTGTCCATTGGTGGGAAGCCGAAGCACTGCCGTTCATAGATTTATGATTTCGACATAGAGCTTTGAATGTTCAATTCGGCGACAGCTTGAGAAAAAGGTTCTGGACACACGAAACACAAAGAGCATCAAGCACATGTTGATCGCAATTCATTAAGATTGGGATGATGTAAAAAAATCTTAGTTTGGAGTCACACGGTGATGATTACTTTGCTCTTGCCAACGGGTCGACCGCTGAAAATCCGTTGCCTCTATCATAGCAACGGGTCGACCGGCGATGTTTGGAGGTGTGAATATCTTCCAGCACCACACAGCATTAGACCCCCTTATCATGGTGCCGTGAAAACCCATCCTTTGACAGTGAAGACCACGTTTGTAGATCTTCAAAGTGTCCAGCAAAGTACTTGTTTGATGGTGGAACCCTCAAAAAGTCATAAAACCTCTATTCTCCTCCAGGAAACCAATGGGCGGTGAAAGACCCGGCACATTGGATCAATGATCTTCCACGGTCCATGTTCAGGACCGTCACAGGGTCTTTCTGCGACACTCGCAGAGCGGCTCCCACAGGTTGGCAGTTGGAGCCGCCTCATCAGCAGAACCTCTCCGTGAACTTCCGCACTTGGGCCGGGGCCCCCGAACTGAGGTTTGGGCGAGGGGGGCCTCGCCTCAGCCACCATCCAAAGGCGAAACCTCGACCATCCGTTCTTTGGGGGTGTCTAATGGAGATTTGATTGATCTATAGTAGGTTGGGTAGGTGGGCAGTCCAAACTGCAGACCTGGAAATGAATGCTGAAATTCTTGGGTCTTGATCTCTCAAAGTTTCAAACAGAAGCCTCAGTGAAGGTTGAGGAATCTGGGAAGTTGAACCTCGGCAGAATCCAGTTCCGCCTCGTCGGTCCTGAGACCCCTCGCTCCCGCGGCACGCGTCCTTAGGACAGGAAGAATGCGCAGAATGTGCCCTGGAGCAGCATTGGAGCATCACATGTTGTACAACATGTGTCCAGACATCACTTGAACTTGGACAGCTTGCTTGGCCAGGTGAAGAGGTGATGAGGTGGTGAAGAGGTGGTGTCACATCCGTTGCTGGAAGCTATTAGCATCTATTAGCTATATAATTAGCTTATTTATCTTGAGTGCAACATATAGACTTGGAGGTTTCTCTTTTTACCAGCAACCAGCAACCACTAGAGACGCTTTCAGACTTATAGTATCCAATCAAATCCAACGGACATGGACAACGGTCCGTTGAGGATTTTGGTCGACCGTACAGGACCTTTTGGTCGATCACGGACAATGATTCAACCAGACAGTTCACTCACTTTCCTCTCCAAGTTAGTCATAAGATGCACCGCAGAGGTATTTCCTTTAGGCCCTTTAGGACACATTTTCTTCATCGGAAGGGACATTGTCTCCAGGGTTGTTGGCAGGTTTTAAGTTGTCGAGGTGCTTGACGTTGGCGAAATCGGGATGGATTGGAGTACATGAGAAGCCTATATATACTGTATATTTATACTATATGCATTATGTATACAAGTAATTAAACCACTAGTTGCGCGTCCCCCGAAAGGCTTGCGTTTCCTGACACTGTGTCACTGTGTCTTGCCCATCCCTCACATAGATAGAGACGCACACGACCTCCCGCATAGTAGAGGCTTTGCCTCTATTAGCAGTGCCGCGAGGCTTGAGGCTTGGGGCCCTTTGTTTTGCCACGGGACACAACCTTCTCAGCAGCCCATTGTGTTGGCACGCACCGCTCTCCTTTTCCCCTCGCCCACGTTTTGGGCGGTGAGCACATCAGGTGAAGCACATCATGCAGCGAGGTCCCTGGGTTTTGGTGCCTCGACCGCAGTAGAAAAAGGATGAAAAAAGATAACTCGGAGCCCGTCCCCCCAAATAAAAGACAAACTCCTACCAGAATCCCGGTTTGAACGGTTGATGAATCAAACCCTAAACCCAAAAACCCGACCTACCAGAACGGTAGAACATCTCCTATGTCAGGGGTGCCTCTTCTTCATCCCCAGACACTCCATGGAATACATCCATTGGGGTGGTTTCAGGGGTCAATGTAGGCATATTTTATACCATACATGGAGTGTTTGGGATCATCAATAGTCTACCTGAGCGGATGTCCCCTTTTGCCGATGTCCACCGCTGATTTGCTCGGACGTTCGGATGACTCGGTGGGCTTGCAGCCCCTGGCATGTTCTGGTCGTGGCGCCTGATGCGTCCTTTATTGATTGTTCCGGGCATTGCACTTTCACACTACAGTATACAGCTCATCGGTTGGCTCCTGCAATAGCGAGGCTCATCGGTTGGCTGGCGATTGAGCCGAAGGGACAGAAGAACCGAACGTAGGAACCTTGAAAACATGGGGTTTTAATTTGCTTTCACACCGTGGTTGCTCCCACTGCTCTGCCATGGGAGGATCACTGGGCGCACCGTCCGATTCGTCCGCGATCATTTGCTTGCGAACCTGTCGTGCGTCAGAGTTTGCGAATCTCAACGTAAAGCGCCGTTCGTCGCGAATCTCAAGTAATGAGTCGTTGAAAGAAACAAAAATACATCGGACAGCCTTGTTGGGGTTTCACTTGGGGTGTGGGACTCTGCGATACTATGTGGAATGGGTTTCACTTCGTGGATGGGGTCCCAGAATTAGGACCAAAACATTCAGATTGAGACTTCCATTGAAAGGACGTTTTTGCGATGGCTCGCATCTGAAAAAAATGCTCCAACTGATCATGTGGGTAATGTGTATATTAACTTCATGTTTCCCTGTCCGACCGGTCCTTTTGAAGCCAGGGCCGCAAGTCAATCACTGCAAGTCCAGCGGTTTCAACTCAAAGCTTTAAGGGGAAGACTGTATACTGTAGTACCTTCATGCACCTTCAATTGCAAGCATTGGAATCCCATTGAAATCCAACGTCATCATGCTGCTCTGATGTTTGGATACTCAGACAGCCAATTCCCTTTGAAAACCTGAAGGCATGTGGCGAATTGGGTGTCCAGTGGGTCGATATTCCTGCAAAACCGATGCTGATCTCATGCTGTGCAGTGTGTGACACCGCGGGGCATGGTGTCCGTGGTGTCCGCAGGTGTGTCCTCTCCAACAGCCCAGTTCAATCGGTTTCCCATGTGTCGAACGTCCGAGTTGTGGCCATTCAAATTTGACACAGACAGAACATGCAAATGCAAAGCGAGCACCATCCGATTGGGCACCTGTAATCCCCGGCGAGCCGCGAGCACTGCTCTGAAAGTCCAACGTTGGTATGGCTGAAGGATCACACAGGTTCCAAGCTGGTGTTGTTGTTTGTGGTCATATAAGGATCAGAACTGGGGTGCAGTCTATCTTCTAAATGCTGGTTGCCAAGAACTGGGGCATGAGTCCGAGGTGTTATGTACTCGTACGGTTCTATTTGCAGACATTTCTATGTACGTTTCTATGTTATGTCATGTTATGTACGTTTCTATTTCATGTTATGTACGTTTCTATGTACGTGTCTATTTGCAAAGAAATTCAAACATCGAGAGAAGAGCCGTGAGTTCATTCCATTCAGGTGCTGTTTCCAATGTCGACCACAGTCCTGCACATTGGCAGACAGGAGCGGCCGGGGGCCCGATAGCAGGGTGTAGAATCCATACGCAAATTCAGCCGCTGCGCTTTTCTAACCATTTTCAGGATTGGCAAAGTGGGGCAATGTGCAAGGCTCATGGAAGCATCAACAAACACCTCCAGACAAGAGGCAAATATAAGCTATTGCATTTGAGTGCATATATACTGTATATATATATATATCAAACAAAACATTGGAAACTGGACTGGACTGGACATGTAGAAACCTGGTCCAACAAGGTGTGATTATCCTGATGGGTAGGGACCGCCCGAGGTGCACGATCCATTGGCCTCTAACATTGACATGCAGTATACATACAGGCAACAGACAATGTCATGCCCAGAAGCAAGAGTAAACCAGAATTTGCTGCAGGGAAGGTTTCGTGAGATGTCGTGCCCAAACCTGAATCGCAGGCGACCTCTATAGATGTTTGTGTCCAAATGTATATTCGGGGGTTTGCACTTTAGGCATGAGGTATGACTTTTGCATCTAGCGGTGCCATGCATGACTAAGCAACCTAGGCAGGACTTAGGCATAGTGTTTCCCCTGTATCAGCCATGTTCATGTCCATGAAAGAGCTGGGTGTTTAACACGTGTCCCCTAGTTTTCTCAACCGGGAAGGTTCGAACGCACGCGGAGGAACACCAGCACCGCGGCTTCAAACTCTTTGACTATGGCACCTCCGCAGAGGTTGCACCGTGTCGGGATCCCCACCGTGTTTCTCCATTTGTACCATGTGGATATGCCAGGTGAAGTGCAGTGTGCGTTTGTAGAGACTCATGGAAGATTGCTAGCACTTTGGACATGCAATTGATCCTTTTAGCTAAGTAGTTGACATGGGGATCATCAGCAGGATTCTTGACATCCAAAGAGGGCAGTTTCAAGGGACCTCACCTGACCGAGGGTGCGGCACAAAATCATGATGTGACGACTGACTACTCATCAAGTAGGCCTCAAAGTACCCTCAGAAGGATCAGAAGGTAGGGACTGACTCCCAAGTACACTTACACTCAACGTAGTTCAACATTGGAGCCCAAACCGAGAAGGTTTGGAGTCAGTCCATGCGGCCATGAATGGGTTTGAAGAAACGCACTATTGGGGTTCGTTGTCGCCAAATCGAAGCATCCGTGGGATACATTGGGCACCTCACAAAGCCAAGAAGACCCTCCTTCAGAGTTGCTGGATCCCACCTTTATACCAATAAATCAATCCAAACGAAACCGTTTCCAGAACACTTCATAAAGTTTATGTCCTTCGGCTTGCCAGCCTTGATCTTGATGTTCGCAGGTCCGGGCCAGAAGAATTTGCCAGCCACACTCACGCCGCCGTTCGCCCTTTTCTGTGCCATTTGGCTAGACAACTTGTCAACCCCAACTCCCCGTTACATAAGCGTAGCAACGCGCTAGCCTGGCATTTGTGCCCTGCCGGGGCACTCGGTGCACCTGGCCCTCTGGCTTCGGCAGCTTCGGGTGCTTGGATCACGGGAAGAACTCTGATGGTGCAAAGATGTGTAGAGCCGTGATGTTGCTTCTTGCATGGCTTATAATTAGAGTATGTCAAGAGCTTTGCATCAAAAGAACATGGTCTTTGAATTCTATATATAGTGGCTAAGGGTTGGTGAAACTTCCACACTCACTCGTGAGCAACCTTAGTGTCGGCCAGTTGCTCGATGAGAATCTATCGAACCTTGTGGAGCACATCATATAGGAATTTGGTTAAACAACACGAGCTACTTTTGCAACGGCAGTATTTTATCCCTGCTTTTGGTTAAACATGTCCAAGGTATGATAAGATGTGGAAGATTACTAGAAATGAAGGTTGGGGAAGGAAAGCACCACTTCTCACAGAAGCATTTTTGACAAAACAGCTGCTTGGCTGTCTGAAATGCACGAATCCTGATACAATTTGTTTGAATTACCTGGTCAAGGATCATACATTCATAGACGTAGATGAGTACTTACCATATAGTCCCAAATCTCTTTTTCAACGGATGATCGAGCGATGGAGGATTCTGGGCCATCAATCAAAGAAAGGGTTGTCAGGTTTGAGTCCAAGGATGGTTTTGAAAATGGATAGTTGATACTCCCAAGATCTCCCATTCGGCTTCGGGTCTTCATCCCTTTTCGCACCGGCCCACGGACCAGCGATGAGGTCCTGCGCTGAAGATTCATTTACGTGTCCTCATCTTTCTGACTAAAAAGATGCGCCTTGAACTGCAAGAAGCACAGGCAGGCCAGGGGGGCGGTCGTGGCTGTTTCCGAAAACGGCTGGTTCGTTTCCCCGATCAAAGAACACCATAATATACTGTTGAAGCATCGTCACCAGAGAGAGTATTACAGCAAAAGAAAGAACTACATGCAGGAAAGTATTATGACATGTTGTTTTGCAAGTTTGCCAGAAGGATGCGTCGTCCACCGTAAACTATAAGGATGAATATAAATGAACATAAAAGAAGAAACATGAAACACCTTGCAGATGGACAACCGTTTATAGTAATTAACAAGATGCGTTTCTTCTCAGGTTTGTCTCCGCCACAAAGACAGTGAGGAGTGTTGTGTTGCAGTATCTTTGTTTGCGCATAGACGTCGATGTTTGTACCAAGCCGGAAAAGGATGACACACCAAAAACAAAATCGATAACCAGAGTTCGTAAAACACCTCCCCGTACACTCGTACGCAATGGCCCACTAGCTGTACTAGCTGTGCGGGCGTCTGGAATGAATTGTCCCATGGCATATGTTTGCCAGCTCACACACGCATGCATGCATACTACCCATGTTGCACTTTAGTCGGAGCACTGTAAAGCGATAAGGAAGAAACACATATCACATTAAAGTGGTATATATGCATGGAACTATTCAGGGGGGTAGACAACCTCAAGTGTGTTCACTGCAGTGCTCGCTGTGCTCCAAGTCGGGTAGGTAGAGACTCACGGCTGTGCAGTTCTTTGGTTCAATCTTGGTTCAACGAAGCGTCTTTTATTGCCTGTGGTACTTCGGAGAGGTAGCCCCCACTTGTGGAAGTTTTTTTGGGGGTTGGCTTGCCGACTGTGTATTAGACGTAGGGAGACCTTCCAACTTCTCCAAGCAGTGCAGCAGTGTGCTTTAAGCTGGAAATCCGCTTCCTTGAAATCCGGAACCATACGACTTATATGGGCATGCGCGGCGATGTTGAATCATTTTGTGGATTCAA